TAGCCGTCAGTTGTAACCTAATTAAGCATTCTCTGATAATACGATTGACTCTGAGAGGTTGGTCCTCTCCGTGGATTAGTCTCAACGATACTCGTTGAGGATACCACGTAAATCTCGTGTATTCAGTTCTTGATTGTGTTTGACATGGTATCAGAGCCTTCTCGTGGATCTCAGGCTTAGCGTTGTTTTCTGGACTGATTTCGTGGCTCGGGTTCTTCTTGCTGCTCGCACTGGTGGTTATTGTATTGGGGTATTCTTGTTTTTCTGGCTGCTGTTCCTCTTCGTATTGGATTGGGTCTTCTTGCTGCTCACACTGGTGGAGCTTTCCTTGGAGCTTTCTTGTTTGTTGCGACAATTGCTTCTCACCATATTGGCTTCCTCTTGCCTCTCGTTTGGTATCTTCTTTTTGGGTAACAGGTTATATTCCTTTGGTATCTTTGTTCGTGGGTGAAGTTTTTTGTTCTTAGCTACTGGTTGCTTTTGGTCTTGGCCTCCTGCTTGTTTTATTCTTCTCGTGCCTTGTTCGAATTTTGCTGGCCATTATGGAATCATCCAAGCTTGATGCTTTCTCGGTTCGGTTCGATGGAAAGAATTTTGCACTCTGGGAATTTTAGTTCAGGCTCTTTGTTCAAGGTCGTCGTTTGTCCTCATTCCTCGATGGCACTGCTGTGGAACCTGGTGCAGATGCTACTGCTAAGGTTAAAGAGGATTGGGCAGCTTGCAATGCTCAGGTTATGGGATGGATTACTGGCTCGGTTGATCCCTCTATTGCTCTCAGTCTACGTAGCTTCTCGATAGCCCATGCTATGTGGCGCCACCTATCGGATTTTCATTCACAGTCTAGTGCGTCTCGGAAGTTTGATGTGGAGCTTGATCTTGCTCGTTTGCACCAAGGGGATCTCGACATTCGCTCATATTATCAAGATGCTGTAAATTTGTGGACTGAACATGATATGCTCACTGCATCTCTTGTCTCGGCCGAAGTATCCACAGAGGTTCAAAAAGAACGGGCTAATTCTCGGATTATGCATTTTTTGATGAAATTGAGGCCTGAGTTCGAAGGTATCCGCTCCTCTTTGCTTCATCGGAACGTGTTGAAGGTTGAAGAGGTTTTGAGTGAGTTGATTCGCGAGGAAACAAGGTTGCGGAGCCAGGCCAAGCTCGACGTGCATCAGGTGGAGTCTGCATTGGCTTTTGCTGTCTCGGCTGTGGGTGGCGGTCGGGCTGTGTCATCAGGAGGAACCGGTTGGGCTGTGTCGTTTGCGGCCAACTCGGAGCGGGTTGACAGGCCCTGTTTTCATCGCACTCTTGCTGGGGATATTGTTTGTTTTTATTGCAAAGCTCCGGGTCATGTTCAGCTTCACTGTCCCAAGCATAACGTTTGTAACTATTGCAAGACTTCAGGCCACAAGATTGGGGCTTGCCCGATTCTAGCTCAGCGAGGTCGAGGTCGAGGTCGCTATCCCGGGGCTGGTTCATCTCGTCCTCCGCCCTCCGGTCCTGCTTTTGCCACGACTGCTGTTGCACCGGCTTCTCCGGGCATCTCTCAGGATATGATCACTCAGATGGTGCAGGCAGCCCTCAAGGAAGCCCTTCCGTCCGCTCTGGGCTCAGTGTTCTCTACGGGTAGGCCTTCTTGTCCTTCTCCTTCCTGCCATATCGACTCTGCGGCGTTTAATCACATGACTAGCTCTCGGTCTTCTTTTAGTTCTCTCTGTCCACGTACTTCTATTCAGTTGCAAGTGGCCGATGGTACTTGTTTACCTGCTAAGGGTGTTGGAGTAGTTAAGCAACACGGGTTGCATCTCTCAGATACTTTATATGTACCTCAACTTTGGCCTAATGACATTTCTGTGGGACAGTTAGTTGAGGATGGCTGTCAGGTTCTTTTTGATGATCATGGTTGTACTGTGCAGGACAAGAGAACGGGGATGGAGATCGGGCGAGGGACTAAGGTTGGACGAGTTTACACTCTGGATAGTTACTCTCGAGATGTTGGAAGGGGCGCCGTGGGAGATCGTGAGGCTGTCTCTTCACTTCGAGGGTGTCTATCTCGAGATTCGGCGGCGGCTGCTGCTAGTGTGGTTAATTCTGTTGGTTTTTCCTCTGTTGGGTTTTCTGTTGGATTGTCAAATTGGGATTTGTGGCATCGTCGGTTAGGCCACCCTCATTCTGCACGCTTGAAAGAAATGTTTAAGAATAAACTTTTGTCGGGTAGTTCTATTGTTGATTCTCAGGATTGTGTTCACTGTATTGAGGCTAAACTTTCACAACAAACCTTTAGCTCAAGTTCCACAATCTATTCAGAACCATTTGATTTGGTTCATACAGATTTATGGGGTCCTGCTACAGTGACCTCCCGGGTTGGATTTCGTTACTTTGCTCTTTTTATTGATCACGCTACTCGTTACACATGGGTGTACTTTCTTCGTCAGAAGTCTGATCTCCTCACAGTAGCGAAGGAGTTTCTTCATATGGTCTCTACTAAGTTCGGCCGCCAGGTCAAGGTGCTTCGTTCAGATCCTGGTGGTGAGTTTTCCTCTGGTCCGTTAGAGGCTGTGTTTAAGGAACGGGGTATCTTACCTCAACAGTCATGTCCAGGTGTCTCGCAGCAAAAATGGACTGGTTGAGCATAAGCATCGTCATGTCTTAGAGCTCACCCGTGCTCTCCTATTTCAGTCGTCTGTTCCATCCAACTTTTGGGTTGAAGTAGTGCATACCGTTGTCTATCTCATTAATCGACAACTTACTCCTGTCCTAGCTCAGCGAAGTCCATATGAAGTTCTCTATGGCAAGAAACCGAATTATTCCTGGTTACGAGTGTTCGGTTGTGTTTGTTATGTTCTTTTACCTCGACGGGAACGTAACAAGTTATAGCCTAAGGCGGTTAAGTGCATATTTGTTGGTTACAGCGAGAAGCACAAGGGATACGTTTGTTATGATGCCGCAAATCGTCGTCTTCGGATATCCTGTCAGGTTGCCTTTCTCGAGCATATACCTCATCATTCCGCCTCGTCACCGCAGCCCGACTCCAGCCTTGATTTTCTCAAGCCCTTAGCCTTTTTCCCTAGTGATGCTCCTGCTGGCAATGATGACTTGGACCCTCCATCATCACCTCATGTATCCACCTCCCTCACTGGAGGCTTCGATATGGATAGTCCCTCCCCTACTGTCTCTTCACGTGCTTCCCCAGGATCCTCCTCCTCTCCTTCCTTGTCTCATGGAGACTCTTCAGCGTGCACCTCTTCTCCGTCGTCTTTGGCTGGGGAGTCATCCGCCGCCACTGAGCATTCTCCCGACCAGCACCTTGTCATCGAGGATGCTCCTACTCCTCCTCGACGCTCATTACGCGCTACGAAAGGCCAACCTCCACTGCGTATGACTGATTTTGTGGCCTTTGCCACTTCTCATATTCCGATACCAGCCACTTACAAACAAGCGCGGGGACATCCGGATTGGGATAATGCAATGGATGTTGAAATCGATGCTCTTGAGGCAAACCATACATGGGATGTTGTTGATCGTCGACCTGAGTATCCTGTCATCGGTTCAAAGTGGGTGTATAATGTTAAGCTTCATCCGGATGGCTCGCTCGAACGCTTTAAAGCTCGTGTTGTAGCTCAGGGATTTAGGCAAGAGTTTGGCATCGATTATGAGGAGACTTTTGCTCCGGTGGCGAAGATGCAGACGGTACGTGTCTTGTTGGCAGTGGAAGCGTTAAGAGGATGGGAGTTGAAGCAGTTGGATGTCAAAAATGCTTTTCTACATGGTGATCTAAAAGAAACAATTTATATGGAGTGTCCTCCAGGTTACTTGAAGGGTGATAAGACCAAGGTTTGTCGTCTACGTCGTTCATTGTATGGTTTGAAACAAGCTCCTCGAGCATGGTTCGAGAAATTCCATGAGACAATTTCTGCTACTGGTCTAGTTCAAAGTGATAATGACCCCTCATTGTTTTTGCGTCGGACAGATCGTGGGCTTACAGTTCTCCTACTCTATGTCGATGATATAGTTGTGAGTGGGGATGATACACAGGGTATTCAATCCTTGATCCGAACTCTGCATTTGGCCTTCAAGCTTAAGGAGTTAGGCGAACTATCTTATTTCTTGGGTTTGGAGATTCATCGGTCGTCAGAGGGTTTTTTTGTTGGTCAACGTAAGTATATCTTGGATCTCCTTGAGACAGCTCAAATGGATGCTTGTGATCCTTGTGCCACGCCTATGGAGCAGAATGTGAAGCTCAGACAGAATGATGGTGAACTCCTCCCTGATGGCGCCCTTTATCGTAGCGTGGTGGGAAGTCTAATTTACCTCACTCATACGCGTCCTGACATATCTTATGTTGTGCAGGTTGTTAGCCAATTTATGTCAGCACCTCGAACATCTCACATGATTGCTGTTCGTCGCATACTGAGGTATTTGTGTGGTACTGCCGATGTGGGATTGTTGTTTCCTGCTACAGGTGATTCAATTATTGAGGCATACGCAGATGCAGATTATGCAGGGTGTTTAGACACCCGACGATCGACTTCAGGATGGTGTGTGCGGGTTGGTTCCGCTTTTGTTTCTTGGCGATGCAAAAAGCAAGAGAGGGTTTCCAAATCATCTACAGAAGCTGAATACAGGTCTATGTCCGAAGTTACATCGGAACTTGTTTGGCTCCATCGGGTGGTTACTGAACTTGGGTTGGCGTGTGATTTCCCTATGCGTTTATATGCTGATAACACTAGTGCCATTAGGATTGCCACCAATCCGATTCTGCATGATCGTACTAAACATATAGAGGTACATGTTCATTATATTCGGCAACTGGTTGCTGAAGGGAAGATCGAGTTGTCGTATATCACTTCTGAAGAGCAGACTGCAGATTTACTTACAAAGGCGGTAGCTTCTCCTCGTCACTGGTTTCTAGCATACAAATTGATGTTGCGTAAGCATCATCAATTTGAGGGAGAGTGTTAGAAATATTAAAAGTAATAGGTAGTTAATTGTAATTAATCCTGAATTATATATGTTAATTACCTATTACTACCGAGATAGGGTTAGGGCGGCTGGATATATATACGTAGCATGGCCGTCAGTTGTAACCTAAGCATTCTCTGATAATACGATTGACTCTGAGAGGTTGGTCCTCTCCGTGGATTAGTCTCAACGATACTCGTTGAGGATACCACGTAAATCTCTTGTATTCAGTTCTTGATTGTGTTTGACATGTGAGGCATCATGCACTGGAACTGGCTTTGGCTCTCTGGGATTAGGGTAATGGCCAAGCGTTCGCACCAGTCATGAGGTCCACCGGTTTCAGAGGGTTCGTCAGCTTCATAGCCAAAGTGATGATCCAAACCAGCAGCAGCAGCTGATGACTCTGCTTTGCACTTGCGCTTCTCTTCCAGTGGGAGCTGGAAAAAGTCGGTCATGATGTCACGCAGGCCGTCCAGAAACTCGCGTGTCATTCCATGGTTGATCAGAAAGCAGAAGCCGTTGGCGGAGAGGGCCGAGCCGAGCTCTTGGGATTCGGCTGAGGCGGTGGCCGGAGAAGGAGAAGTAAGGAGAGAGACGTCGATTTGGGGAATGTTATCCATCATCCGGAGACTACAGCCGGCAGCTCCGATCATCTCCTCATCCTTCTGGAAATACTTTGCCAGCGGCTCTGCGCCTCTCTCTCCCACGCCCATTCTTCATCACTACTCTCGCTCGCTCTCTCTGTTCCCGAGAGTTGCTATATATGTGAACTGAAAACAATTGATATTTTTTGGCGGTAAAAAACAACAATAATATACAATAAAGATTTAATGTTTTTGGTACCTAGCTAATTAATAAAGATATAATGTTCAACCTTCGATACCGAAGCCATACGCAAATATCAAATCCTACAACAAAGTTTTTTAAAAAATGTTAAGTACGTAGGTGCGGGAGTACCATATATATATATATACACACAAGTTATTCAAAAAAAAAAAAATGAGCTCATATAGTTAGTTAGAGGTGGAAAACGGTCCAATCCAATTAAACTGAACCGGACTAATCTGAATTTTTTATCCTTAGAGTGAAATAAACGTCCTTGTTGTTGCGATAAGTATTGGTTGGATAACTTGGATTTTATAATTTAATTTCAGTTGTAATTATATTTGACCATATTTTGAGCCATAATTGGTGTATGTAGTTCTTTGTGAAACAAGAAAAAATTGGTGTATGTACGTAGTGGCTATAAATAATGAGCTTAGTATATGGGGGACGTGTTTCTTATCTTATCGATCCCCACACTAAGCAAAACAAAGAGAGAGGTGTTTATTTCACGCTCGAGTGCTGTAAGAAGAAAATGGTCGAGCCAGCTACTTACGATCGAGCCGCCGAACTGAAAGCTTTCGACGAGACAAAAGCCGGAGTGAAAGGTCTAGCCGACGCCGGGATCACTGAGCTCCCTCGCATTTTCCACATCCCACCTCACCTTGTGGACCGCCGCCCAACAATACCTCCCGTCGACGCTCCAGCCCGCTTCATCTTGAGAAGTTTCTAGGTTAGAATGAGATGTGCGAGAAAATGTGCAGACAGCTTGTCTTGCTGCTCTGCTTTTGTATTCATTCTCTGCAATTAGGATTACAGATAACTGCCACGTGTCTTACTCACGTTGGCTATGTTTAAAACTGTAAACAGTACTTAACGGCTAATGACTCTAAATGAAACGTTGTCGCATCACCTTAAGAGATAGCAGCCTATTCTAGGAAACGTCTCCATTACAGAAACGTTTCTCCTCCTTTGGACTCTGTTCGAATCTTCTTCTTCCTTATGCAATCTTGTTCAGTCTCGGATTACATTTCTGTCACCCCCCTTCAAGTTGTGGAGGGAAGAACAACTCCCAACTTGATCAACAAATCTCTCAATCGTACCTGATCCAGACCCTTGGTAAAGATATCTGCCAATTGGTTGATTGTGTTCACTTGCTGTAACTTGATCAAACCATTTTTGATTCTCTCCCTTGTCACATGAATGTCGATTTCAATGTGCTTGGTCCTCTCGTGAAACACAGGGTTTTCTGCTATGTGTATAGCTGACCTGTTATCATAATAGATAGTGATGGGTAATGGAAATTTCACACTCAATTCCTCCAAAAGTCCCTTCAGCCATTGAACTTCACAAACTGCCATTGCCAAAGCCCTGTATTCTGCCTCTGACGATGACCTGGAAACAGTGGTCTGTTTCTTAGTCTTCCAGGTAAGCAACGATCTCCCCAGGAAGGTACAGTAACCAGTAGTTGACCTTCTTGTATCTGGGAAACTTGCCCAGTCTGAGTCACAAAACCCTGTCAACTTTAGTTCTGCTCCACTGTCAAAGAAAATCCCCTGCCCTGGTTCATTCTTCAAGTATCTCAGGACTCTATATGCTACTTGGAGATGTTCCTTATGTGGCTTCATTTGAAACTGGCAAAGTTGTTGCACTGCAAAGGCTAGGTCTGGTCTGGTGATGGTGATATAATGAAGTCTACCCACTAACCTTCTATACTGCTCAGCATCAGGTAGTGGTGTTCCTTGAGTTGCAGACAGCTTTATCTTAGGATCAATTGGTGTTTTACATCCTTTGGCTTCCAAGTATCATGTCTCCTTTAGCAATTCAAGGCAGTATTTCCTTTGACAAACATTTATCCCATCTGTTGTTCTGTTAATTTCCAGACCTAAGAAGTACTTGAGAGGGCCAAGCAATTTCATCTTAAACTCCTGGCTCAAGGTCTTCTTAACCTGCTCTATGTCTTGACAGCATCTCCTCCTATGATGATATCATCCACATATATGAGCAATACCACAATCCTGCCACAAATCCATTTGGTGAACAAAGAATAGTCTGAAGCAGACTGACTGAAGCCATTTTTCAACAGAAAACTACTCAACTTAGCAAACCATTGTCTAGAGGCTTGCTTCAACCCATACAAAGATTTCTTCAGTCTGCAAACCATCCTCTGTGAACCATGTTGTTCCAAATCCAAACCAGGTGGTAATTGCATATAGACCTCTTCATTTAAGTCACCATGAAGAAAGGCATTTGAGACATCCATTTGCTCTAGAGTCCAATTCTTCACAGCTGCAATTGCCAGTAAGGCTTTAACTGAATTAATCTTAGCAACAGGTGAGAAAGTGTCCAGGAAATCAATTCCATAGACCTGGGTATACCCTTTTGCTACCAATCTGGACTTGAACCTTTCAATGTTTCCATCGGGCTTCAGCTTGATCTTATATACCCATTTGTTCCCTATCACCTTCTTCCCTTCTGGTAATGGGACAATATCCCATGTTTGATTTGCTTCAAGTGAATCCCATTCTTCTCTCATTGACTTTCTCCAGTGCTCATGTTTAATGGCCTCCTGATAAGTGAGTGGCTCATCCTGCTGGATGATGCTTAAAGCATAGACCCTGTCAAGAGCATTCAAATGATCCACATTCAAACAGATAGGATACCTGCTTACAGCTGCTGCATTGTGACCAAAAGCTCCAAATTTTAAATCTAGATCCAATTCACAACCATCATATTTTCTAGGTAAATGATGTTTCCTCTTAGGTCTAGCTGGTGGTTCATAGTCCTGTTGTGGCTCAAGTTCAGGTTCAAGTTCAACTATGTCCTAAACTTCATCATCAGGTGTGACTTCCCCCCTTTCAGCTGAGACTGGATCAGTATCTGAAGGAAGTGGAGGCTGAGATTTAGAAGTGCTAGGAATAGGTAGATCAGGTGGAGGACCAGTATCAAGAGGTGGAGGATCAAGAGGTGCAGAAGAGGGTTGTGGTACTGAGGTGGAGTCATCATCTGTTCTATAGGGCAATATAGACTCATAGAAGACTACATCTCTGGAAATGAGGACTTGGTGAGAGTGGATGTCCAACAATTTATAACCCTTAATCCCAGGTGGAATACCAAGAAGTACACATTGCCTGGATCTGGGGGCAAACTTAGTTCTGCCAGCAGTAGGAGTACCAGCATATACCAGACAACCAAACACCCTGAGGTGACCTAGATAAGGTGGTTTCTTGTAAAGAACTTCATAGGGGGAAACATTGTTGAGGAGAGGTGTAGGCATTCTATTAATAAGATAAACAGAATGCAAGATACAGTCACTCCAAAACTCTAAAGGTAACCCTGACTGAAACCTTAAGGACCTGGCCACATTCAAGATGTGTTGGTGTTTCCTTTCCACCCTAGCATTCTGTTGTGGTGTATAAACACAGGACATTTGATGTTCTATGCCCTCAGAGATAAAGAAATCACACATGTTGAATTCTTTCCCTTGGTCACTTCTGATGACCTGTATTTTACTGTCAAACTGGTTTTGAACCAGATAGCAAAAACCTTTAAGAAGATCTCTTGTTTCACTTTTGTTATGCATCAGAAACACCCACACAGCCCTTGAACAGTCATCCACAATTGTAAGAAAGAAACTATATCCATCATGAGACACAACAGATAAAGGTCCCCATATGTCAATGTGAACAAGTTGAAAAGGTCTAACTGCATTGTTAGTGCTAACAAGAAAGGGTAGCCTTTTGTGTTTGGAGTAGTGACAAATATTACAATGATCGATTTTGGAATGAGTTACATCAGGATCACTATGCTGTAACAGATTAATCCTATCATTGCTGGGATGTCCTAGTCTCCAGTGCCACAGGTCTACTTGAGTTTGGTGAAGAGCTGGAAGGTTTGATGGCTGGTTTGTGAAGGTAAGGTGATAAAGACCTCTAGACTCTCTTGCTAAACCAATCGTCTTCTTGTTTAGAAGGTCCTGGATTTGGCAAATGTCAGAGTGAAAGTGTAAGGATATGGGAAAATCATGTGTGAGTCTACTAACTGACACTAGATTGAAAGAAAAGCTAGGTACTAGCAGTACATTATAGAGAAAAAGTCCAAAAGGCAATCTGACAGTTCCTACATGACTGACTAGAACCTTAGCTGAATTTGGAAGGTGAACAAACATGCCCTGAACTTGTGTATGTTCAGTAAACAACTCTAAAGAACAGGCAATATGGTCTGATGCCCCAGTATCTAATATCCACAAGCTATTAGATCTATTAGAGTTAGAGTCTATAGCTGAAGATATTACATATTTACCTAAGTAGTTTGGGAATGGAGGAAGGTATTGTGAAACTGAGTAGGCTTGGTGTTGGATAGAGGGTGAAGTTGGAGGTGATGGTGAAGGGGTTTGGTTGGTGGGAGCTGGGTGGTTAGCACCAAAATGCAGTAGATATCTCAACTTGTTCAGCTCTTCTGGAGTAAAATTAAGAGAGGTGGACTTACCATGTTGCTCTCATTATGAAAACTCACTTCAGAAGATGACTCACTCCCACTGGAGTTACCTTGAGACACTGAACCAACAAACTTGTGTGAACCAGGCTGAGAATTTCCACCTTGCTCCTGCTCCCTACTCTTCCTTTTGTAAGTCCAACATTCTTCTATGTTGTGATTAGTCTTCTTGCAGAACTTGCAGTACTTCTTACCTTGACCCTTTTCAGTGTTCTCTGTGGTCTTGGTATTATCACTCTGAACTGCAAGAGCCACAGTTTGTGACTTCTTTCCTCCTCCTGAACCATTAGCCTTCAATTCCTGCTCATGTTGGAGTAGGTCATCCACTGCATCAGCTACTGTAGGCAGTGGTTTCAACATCAAGAGCTGTTCCTTCACTCCCTCATATTCTGGATTCAGACCTCGTAGAAACCTGATTAGATAATCAGTTTCCTGCTTCCTGTTGTAAGCAGTCACAGCAGTACAGGGATTGGGATTTCCTGGGATGCAGTTACACTCCACAAAAGGGCTAAATTCTGTATACTCATCCCATAATCCTTTGATTAGGGTGTAGTATTGGGTGATAGTCATAGTTCCTTGCTTACACCTGTGGATTTCATCCTCTAAGTTTGTCAACCTATTAGCATTTAGCTGACCAAACCTACGATGAAGTTCATCCCATAGGGTCTTAGCATTTTCATGACTCATAACAGATCTCTTTATATCTTTCTGTAAAGAGTGCAAAATCCAGGTTACAACTGCGATGTTGCAACTATCCCATAAGAAATAGCTTGGATCGTTTCTGGCTGGAATCGCCATGGACCCATCGATGAAACCCAGCTTATGTTTCATCTTCAAAGCTTTCTTCATGGATCTACTCCACATGGAGTAGTTGTTCCCATCGAGTGCCTCTGAAACGATGGGTTGGGTGAAATTTTCATTTGGGTTCAAGTAGAGTGGGTTACCAAAAGTGATGATGCTGCTGTTGCCAGATTGATCGCCACCATTAGATCCCAATTGAACACCAGATGTGTTGAAGACGCCGGTCACACTCTGCGTCTCGCCGGTGAACGGCGAAGCTTCGTGCCCAGCCATCCCGTTGCGGAACCTGGCCTAGAACGGCCGCTCTGATACCATGAGAAGTTTCTAGGTTAGAATGAGATGTGCGAGAAAATGTGCAGACAGCTTGTCTTGCTGCTCTGCTTTTGTATTCATTCTCTGCAATTAGGATTACAGATAACTGCCACGTGTCTTACTCACGTTGGCTATGTTTAAAACTGTAAACAGTACTTAACGGCTAATGACTCTAAATGAAACGGTGTCGCAGCACCTTAAGAGATAGCAGCCTATTCTAGGAAACGTCTCCATTACAGAAACGTTTCTCCTCCTTTGGACTCTGTTCGAATCTTCTTCTTCCTTCTGCAATCTTGTTCAGTCTCGGATTACATTTCTGTCACATCTTCCCAACCATAGACCTCCAAGCCCTAACATTAATGGACGACGCGGCTCATCATCAAGACAAGCGAAACGACATCGTCCAGCAAGTGAGTGATGCATCTTCGGAGTGGGGATTCTTCCAAGTGCTCAACCACGGAATCCCCGAGAATCTTCTAGAAGAAATGAAAGCTGGCGTCCGCAGGTTCTTCGACCTGGACGTGGAGCAGAAGAAGGAATTCTTCACGCGAGACCTCGAAACCAGGAAGGTCTTTTACAACACCAACTTCGATCTGTACAAGTCGCATTTTGCTAATTGGAGGCACAGCATCTACTACAATATGGCGCCAGATCCGCCCACCTCTCAGGAGCTCCCCGCTTGCTGCAGGGAAATCCTGATTGATTACTCTAAGCAAGTGATGAAATTGGGAGATCTGATTCTACAACTGCTGTCGGAGGCGCTAGGTCTGACCCAAAATCATTTTAATGAAATGGACTGTTCGAGAGGATTGTATCTACTCTGCCATTGCTATCCGGCCTGCCCTCAACCCGAGTTGACCCTAGGTGCGAGCAAGCATCAAGACGATGACTTCATAACGCTGCTTCTCCAAGATGACATCGGAGGCCTTCAAGCTCTCCATCAGGATCATTGGGTCGACGTGCCTCCGGTGCCTGGGAGTCTCGTGGTCAACATTGGAGACCTTCTTCAGGTGATCAAGGCCTAGCTAGCTTGAATTATTAATATATCAAATACTAGCTAGTGCATTTGGATCCTTTTTTTTTCTCTCTTGTGAAGTGTTGAGTTTATTCGGATTAATTCCCAAAATACAGTAATAATTAAAAAAAATTCCCAGAATACCGAACTTTTAAAAAAAAATTCCCAAACTACCAAAGTTTGACACAGTTCGAGTTCACAAAACTCGAACTAGTAGTGGATCGATTGCCGAAAACACGATCCAGATGAATCGAGGATGGCACACTCGAACCACATGAAGTGGATCGATGAGCTGGGCAGCGCTCCACCATAGATCGATGTACCAGGACGCGATCAGGGTCGTTCGATTGCTCAACCATCGAAGCAGTGATGACCCGGATCGAGTGCGGTAAACTCGAGGTAAGTGGATCGAGTCAGGTATAATCGATCCATTTGACGCGGATCGATGACGTCAGGCGCGCCCCACCGTTGATCGAGTGGTCTAAACTCGATCTAGGCCGTTCGACTGTCAAACCCGCGAAGCAGGGATGACGCGGATCGAGTGCGTGGAACTCGATGACGCGGATCGAGTGCGTGAAACTCGATGTAGTGGATCGCTGATGTCAGGCTCGATCAACTGTTGATCGATTACCCTAAGCTCGATTTGGTTGGTTCGATGCGCCTAACCACGATCTGCTTTTGACGCGGATCGAGTGCTCAAAAATCGATGCACTAGTTCGAGTTTTGTAAACTCGATCCACTCTCCCACAGAACCTATAAATACCCCCCTCATATTCCACCAAAACTCACACCACTCCATTCTTCTTCCTCTCTTCCTCCCACCACTCTTGAAGGAAAAAATATGCTCTGTGGTTGCGGCTAAGCCCGATCTTCCGCATCAGATTTTTTTCTTTAGTTTGGTACTTCTATCACTCAAAATTGTCGAGATGGATCCGAGTATTTACGATCCTAGATTATACATTCAAGGTGGACCGCGAGAAACCGATTTGTTGGATGAGCAACCTTACCATCGGTCTGAAAGTGTTTGGGCGGCAGATCCGGTAGGCACTTCCTCATGTACTTTTTTTTAATGTGATAGTATTCTTCTAATTTTTTTGTATAATAATTAATGTTTTTTTTTCTACAGGAACAACTTGACGTAATCACCCATCGGTCGCTATCTCGCTTGCCTAAATGGGATGATCGTATCGAGCCCTTCATTGAAAGAGCGCGATTGCTGAGGGTGCGAAAGTTTGTGGGGATGGAGATGGACAACAACCTTCTTACGGCGATGGTGGAAAGATGGAGAAAAGAAACGCACACATTCCACCTTCTAGAGGGAGAGATGACGATTACGTTGAAGGACGTAGCCATGCTGACAGAGCTTCCAATCGATGGTGATGCAATAATAGAAAGTTCTTCAAAACCATTGAATGGTTGGGGCCAATTTATAAGAGAGCGTTTAGGTATCATCATCCCAGAGGAAGCAGAAGAAGGTCGTCGTGTACCACCTCTACACAAGTCTATGCTATTGATACCTTGGCTAGTGAGGACCGCTGGGGAATTACCGGAGGATGCCACGGATGCTCAGATAGAGAGGTATGCTCGCATCTACCTTATTTGTTTGGTTGGAGGATTTTTGTTTCCGAACAAGTCTGGTGGAAATATGCATCGTATGTGGCTTCGAGTTCTTTTGGAAGATTGGGATGAGATTGGGAGAAAAAGTTGGGGATCTGCTTGTTTGGCGATGATATATTCGGAGTTGTGCAAGTGTATGGATCCGAAAACAAAGCAAGCGGGTGGTCCCATGTTCATCCTCCAACTATGGATTTGGGAGCACCTTCCTACTTTCGCTCCGATCTGCCCTGCCAACAGTTGGGGTCCCGATGAGCCACTACGACAATGGGCTTATGGTGCTAGATGGATTGGAGCTATCACGAGTTTCACCTCTCTAGATGGGTATCGCCAACATCTTGACCGTATAGAATTCAACGAGGTAACATTCTAACTTATGATTATTTATTTTTAATTTATTTGTTGAAGTTATTTGTCTTAGCCCCATGATTTATTTTTACGATTATTAATAAGTTTTTATTTGTTGAAATTATTTGTCTTAGTCTTAGCATATGATTTATTTTTATGATTACGAATTCTATTTTATTTGTTGAAATTATTTGTCTTAGCCCATTATTTATTTTTATGATTATGAATCCTATTTTATTTGTTGAAATTATTTGTCTTAGCCCATTATTTATTTTTATGATTATGAATCCTATTTTATTTGTTGAAATTATTTGCCCCGATTTTAATTTATATGTCGTGTTGAAACTTAGGTGGAGTGGGATCCGTATCCGAACGGAGCAAAGGATTTGTACGAGTTGCGATACCCTGAGGATCGCCGACTCTGGTCGTGCAAGTTGCCTGTGATTTGCCACAACATTGTCGAGTGGCACCTCCCGGATAGATGTGTCCGACAATATAATTGGGCGCAACCGATTCCTCTCCCACCACCGGACGTACATAAGTCACTCCACAAGTACAGCAAGGATCTGCGGGGTACAATAACTGATTGGCCAACCAAGCACCGTAGATGGATCGAAATGTGGGAGTCTCGTCAGACGTATGCAATTGATGGGATCCCAATGACGAGGCCAATGGGGTACCAAGATGAATACATGGTTTGGTATCGCAAGTTCACAAAAAGATGGGTAACCAAACGTGGCGCCGTGATCGGTTCATTGGTAAGCACAATATCTATTTACTATAATCACTTTAGCTACACAAATAGTGTTTGACTAACATGTTTATTATTTAGGTTGATGGGTTGGAACTTGCATCAATGACGTTGGAGAATGAACCAGAAGATAATGTGCCAGGGGAGAAAATTTCATTCTTGAAGAAGCTCTTCAAGAATCTCTTGTCATGTTCGCGGGAAATCCGAAGGGATGTCATTGCATATCCTCCTGCTCCTGCACCGCCACGTCCTTCGTCTTGATGTAACGTCCACCTCTCATAAGGATGAGTTTCTAGCCAATCTGCACCTTCAGAGTGGACCTCCCTTATGCTCTTCATTTTGTCTACAAACTTTCTAGTCTGAAAAGAAATAGCTACAATAAAGCAAAATAAGGTTAGTAAAGGAGTATACGCATTCAACCAATTGATATAATCACAACATCTTATTTGTTCTTACCAGCGTGCCAAACTGCACGTTGTCCATAAGTTCTACCAAAGTGCTTCCCGTAATTGCTTTTGAAATGTCGTATGCACCAGCGCCACTTCCACCCTAGCTCCTCGGGCAGGTCGTAGAAAGCATGTGCAATTCCATGGTGTCGATCAGAAAGTATGGCAATGTCCTTCCGTTGAGTGACACGAGTGTATAGTTGGGAAAAAAACCATGCCCAACTTAAGTTGTTCTCCGATTCGACTATAGCAAAAGCAAGGGGGAAAAGTTGCATACTGCCATCAACACTAGTGGCAACGAGTAGAGTGCCCTTGTATTTGCCGGTCAGAAAGGTCCCATCAACTTGGATTATTGGCAGACAATGGGTGAAACCATCAATGCATGGTTTGAATGCCCAAAATAGTCGCTTAAACACGCGTTTAGCACCCCCATAGAAATCTTCGTAACTAGGCACAAAAACAGACCCAGGATTCTTGTCCTCCATTGCAAGAATCAAACGAGGCATGTTAGCAAATGACTCTTCCCAATCACCATACACCTCTGCCATAGCTTTTTGCTTCCCATGCCATGCTTTCTTGTAACTGATGGTATAGCCATGTCGATTCTTCACTTCAACGATGACACTCTTCACGGTGATCCCAGGTTGTGCCTCAATCAGATGTTTGATTGTTTGTGCAACCTTCCTTGCACTCAATTGTCGGTGATCTAGAGAAATCAGTGACGACCTACAAGTGTGGTTGTTGTCTATCTTACGAATGAGCCAAGCCCCATTTCTTTTAACATATGCCGCCCGAACATGCCACATGCATCCGTCGCCATGGTTCTCGCAACGAACATGAATTTGTTTAGTGTCAGAAGTGATGACACGATATTGAAAGCTTCGTCGCATAGCAGTTTCTTTCAATGCATCGACCACCTGAGGCTTTCCTCCAAATGTTTGGCCAACCACGAATCCAGAGTCAGGAGTCCATATTGGTATAGGAGGGAGGTCAGGATCGTCGTTGTGAGCATAGAGAGGATGTTGTGGCACCATCGTGTAGTGAGGTGTGGGGGGCTCAAATTCCCCCTCATCAACTTCCAGATCTTCACCATCTGAACTACTCATTGATTCTAACTCTTCATCTTCCATGTCGCTTGCCTCGCTAGTGTACGGAGGACTTGGTTTATCCACATATGGATCATTGTTGATGCCAGATGCTGGTGTAGATGCTTGTCTGGGTGACTGTCTGGGTGCCCTTATGTAATCCCATTCTTCACCCCATACTGGCCACTCCTGTCCGTCATGTTCCACCAATGGACCAGTTGCAGTTCGATCCTCGTATGTTGGCCATGGTGCATCATGCCGCACTCTGAAATCTCCTGAACCGGAAAACCCTCCTGATCCTTCACCGTGTTCGGTATAACCGCCGCCACCATATTGGCCAAAAACTTCTGTTTCGACATACACCTCAGCACTTGGAAATCTGTTCGCTGCAATAAATCTCACCATCATATTAATGTCATCATCGTCAGACAAAACTGATCCTTCATATACAAGTGCATAATCCTTGTAAACCGGCATACGGTAAGTCATCTTGCATACTCTTCGCCCTGCTATGCAACATCGTTCAGCACAAATATGACTGAGTTCTTGCCAAGTAAATATGCTCTCAATCCGGACAATACTTGATTCACCATCTTCGTAGTCAATACTATCATGAAAGTGTGTAATTCGACCATTCCATCGAATCTTTAAGTCGAATTTTCGAAATTTTCTACCCATTTCTGCAGTTTATACAAGCAGCTCATTACATACAGTACAAACAATACTAAATTAATCTAAAATTCTAATATGCTCATTCAAACAAAGTAAGCAGAACTTACCTCCAAAATTTTTCTTCTTTGCTCAGCTATGGTGCTCCAGCAGCTGCAGTTTGTGTTTGGAAGAAAGAAGATAGAAAGGAAGAGTGCTGCCAGAAAGTGCTCAGTGATGGCTTTTATTTATCGTAAACTGATGGAGTGGGTCGAGTCCAATACACTCGAACTACACTAGTTCGAGTTCATTAAACTCGATCTATGTCGACCAATAATTCCCCCCCCCCTGCGCCCTATTCTGGCGCATGTCGGATAGAAAGCGACTGGACAGAATGATTGAGCAAGTAGTTCGAGTTTAGTTTAATCGAACTACACTAGTTCGAGTCCCTAAAACTCGATCTATTACAACAAAAATCTTATCCCTGCAACCCTATCCTGAAGCATGTCTGTGGGCCAGTAGTTCGAGTCTTATGGCCTCGATCTAGTCCAGACTAAGATCGAGTGCGTTAAAGTCGTTGCACTACATCGAGGATTTTGAAGTCGATCTTACTTGATCGAGTGTTTCATACTCGATCTACTGAGATCGAGTCCCTTGTGATCGATCATAGTTGTTCGAGTCTTCCAAAGTCGAACCACTGTTGATCGAGTGTTTAAAAGTCAATTCGCTATTGGTTCGAGTTTCTTATCGTCGAACTGGTGAGTAGTTCGAGTCCCATAAACTCGAACCCGTTGAAACTTGGGTAGTTTGGGAAAATTTTATAAAACTTATGTATTCAGAGAATTATGTATAATTTTTGCTGTATTCTGGGAATTCTTCCAGTTTATTCCATTCCTAATGTGTCTGATCCGGTTCGCTAATAAATTTTCAGCTTATATCCAATGACAAGTTCGTAAGCACGGAGCATCGCGTGGTATCGAAAAAGATTGGGCCTAGAGTTTCTGTGGCCAGCTTCTTAACTCATGGCTTCGCGCCCAATCCTCGAATGTATGGGCCCATAAAAGAACTGTTGTCGGAAGAGAATCCTCCAAAATACAGGGAAATCACGATTCAAGAGTATTCGGCCTATATTTGCGAACAGGGTATTGGTGGAGATGGAGCCCCTATTCTGCATCATTTCAAGCTTTGAAAGTACGGAAAAGGAGGTCTTTTGAGCCAGAATTCCATTCGATCGGGGGCTGGTTGTTCACTGATTGATGGATGTATGTTGATTTGGTATGGAAAGAATCTCGATGTGTGGGAAGTTTATGTAAGGATTAATTAAGGTTGTGGCATGCATGTACTCCATAATTTATGAGAGTTTGTTCAATTACAATTGATCTTAAATCACTAATTATAAAATTCCAAAAAATTGAAAAGTATATTAAAAGCACTAATTCAGGATATGGTAGAGCACTGAGCCACGTACATTTGAAAAGAGACTGAAAGGATTGGGTTGTAAGCCAATAAGCACTAAAACGAATACAAAAGATTAAAAAAAAATTTACAAGTGTTATACTAGCTCTGACTAGGGCTGTCCATTTGGTTTTGGTTTTTTGGTTTTAACCGAAACCAAACCAATTGGAAAGCTAATGGTTTCAGTTTTTTGGTTTTAAACCAATAAGCAACTTAATGGTTTTGGTTTGGTTAAAACCAAAAAACCAATAAGAATAAAATGATTTATCAACAAAAAAAAAATTTTTGTTTCTTTTGACACGCGTGCCAACCAATAATTTGTTATGATCCATTTACCATTATTATGACGTTTATTCAATAAAAAGGAGGGAAATAGGAATAAATATGAGTGTATGAGTACATGTTGGTTTCTTGGTTATCCAAACCAAAACCAAAACCATTAAGGCCCTTATTGGTTTTTGGTTGCCAAAAACCAATAAGGACCTTAATGGTTTTGGTTTTGGTTTTTGGGATTTGGTTTTTGGTTTTTGGTTTTTCATACTTAATGGTTTGGTTAACCAAACCAAACCAAATTGACAGTCCTAGCTCTGACTCCTGCGTAGGACTGGACCATGGCTCGGGGGTGGCTCCCTGAATCCGCCACTGTAAATATTGATAATAACATTGCAAAGTTTTAATAATGTCATTAAATTCAATTATAGAGAGTTAGAGACAATGATTGATTAGTTATGAACATGACGTGAAAACATGCATCACTTTTAATAAAGATAGTAAGGTAATGCTATTAAAAATGTTAATACTGACATTTGTTTAAAGAGTAAGGAATCGGAATCATTTTTTCTCTCTCTCTCTCACTTGTAATGACTTATTAGCAACACATAGTTTAGTGTCAACAAAACTATTCCATGGACCAAGGTAGCAAATCTTATTATTCAGCTTAGCTCCATCAAAGGTTCGTATACATATGTGTAGCCTACGACACACGAACGTGCTTGTTTAAATGCTAATCAATATCGCGCCCTAGAGATTGCGAACGGGTTTCAGAAACCATGCAGCACAGTGGACATGCATGTGCGGCGACATGGATGAACCTTAATCCCCTACATAATATATATCCATAATCCATAGTCTATCTGGGATAATGTATCGACACTAAAAGCAGTAAGCAAACGTCATTGTTTAAAGATATCCTGCCCTAGAGATTGGGACGATCGAGTTTACGGTAAACACGCTGTAGAAATACACGTGCATGCATGTGTCATGTGTGGAGCATCGGGTGGCTGACTGGCTAGGGTCTAGGGCAGATGGCGGAATCCTTTGGGAGACTAGCTAGCTAGCAGCTCCAAACTTCTTTTTAGACTATAGAGTCTAGGGCATAATAAATTGCGGTCAAATATGGGATGCGGCCTGTGATAATATTCTTGTAATATGTAAGGGTAGGTCTAGTTGGGAACTTAATTAACCGAGACTTGTCTTACGCAATCTAGGGTTATGATTCATGTACAGCAAACACCTAATAGTTAATTGAATATGAGAGTTGATCGCTTCGATCGTGAAATAGTCTTGATTACTCTGAATGAGAAAACCACCTAATCATGTGTGAGTTCCTTCTGTTTAGATTGATCTCTCATTTCGATTCAATTCGTTCTTCGTTTCACTATTCTAGCTCATTCTTGATCAGCTTCGGTATTTTATTAGTCCCATGCATGCTCCTCAACCATGCATGGTAGGCTGCTCTCTGTTTATTCTTGACACAAACATTGTCTGATGTTTTTGTGTTGTGGTGATGCGCAGGTTATCAAGATCTTTGTATATATTGTAGGAAGGAATTCTACAACTAGGAGCCAAGCTCCACCTTCCATCCCCTATAACGAAATTGGGTGTTCCCTTTGACGAAGCCACTCTATTCTGGGCGAGAGGAGGAATTGGTTTCGTGTTAAGGCGTTTCTATCAATTCCTCCATGGATTATATGCATATGCGTGTGTGTGTTCGGCACGCTTTCCCTTGAGCAAAAAACTTGGAGGGGCTGTTTGCTTTTATAATTAGAGAGTGGTATTAATTTTAATATAAAGTAGTTAAGTAGTAAGTACCATGCTACTTGCTTGTAGATGAATTTCAAGATCACATGTAAAATCGTACGAACTCCTAGTAAACCGTCTAAACAAACTGTAAACTATAAAAAAAATCATGTCTCGTATCTCCTACGATCTACTCGAGATTTTAATCAGAACTTCTTACCAGGAAACAGCAGACATGAGGACTCAGACTACCTAAGAGGCACCGTCAGCAAACGAGGCAGAAATCATTCATGGGTTGTTGTATCTGCGATGAGTAGCCAGTCTTTCACTAAGATTTCGAATAGCTGTCCCAGCTTTTGTTAGATACCGAACATAAAATTTAGCATTACCGATCTAGCTGAGTCGCAGACAAGGTCGCTCTCTTTAAGACGTTCGCGGCACTGCCTCGTTATTCGCACAGCAGACTATCAGTCGGTTGCCTCCAGGATAAAACAGCCACTCTTTTGATTTGCTCAGCGGTTTTGTGCGGAAAACCGAAGCTCTTTGAATCTCACTCTCTCGTGTTTTTGCTCTTCTGAGGTGTATTTAGAGGGTCTAGAGGACTGCTATTTATAGGAGCAGAAAACCTAGAATATTCCCTCTTTCTTTGGGAATAAGTCATATTTTAATTAGAGAGATAATTACTTTCATAATTAAAATATAATCTATTAAGATAATTAATTCTAATTATCTCCATAATATTCATTTTATTAATTATCATGTTAATTTCTTATTATGAAAATACTAAATAATTAATTAGGAATTTCATTTGTAGCTTTTCAAAGCTATTTATTCCAACCGTTTCTTTTTTTTCTCGAAGTGCTTGGTGCAGGATAGACGCCGCCGGCGAAGCCACCTCCTACGATTCCTTGTCGGTTCGGTGAAGTCAGCTGTCTTTTTACGCCGAGTTTTGGAAACGGCCCAGCCCAAGAGGGAGCGAAGCGAAACGTAATGCGCAGCGGGCGAAGCATTTGAGGCTTGGGCTCCGTTCCCAGGCTGGGCGGCTTCCGCGGTCCATGATAGAAGCCTCTCCCATCTTGGGCTCTCACTTGCGCTGGCCCATTAGATAGAGTTGCACCAAAAATGATTTCACACGGCACAGAAAGATTAAAAGAAAAAAAATCTACAAGGGCACTCAACTCTCTGTTTTCTTCCATTTCAAAATTTTTTGTAACGAGAGCCAAAATAAAAAGGCATATCAGTCATCATAATTTTTTATTTTCTATACTTAAAAATATGTAAATGTTGATATTTGAACTCGAATTTCTTCAAAAAAAACAATAATCATACCAATTACACTAAATAAATTTGTTTTACCTTTCTAAATTAAAATAAATAAGAAGAAATAAAGTTGAGCCAGTTCCACTAGTTACCAGGGCTGTCGCTGCACCATTGTGGCTGCCGCCATCACCAGATGAACTCTTGCCCACTTCGTTCAAGTCGGTGTCGTCGCTGGTTGCGGGAGGAAAAGAGGAGGCTGAAGCTGTTTGGTGAGCTTTATGGTCGCTTGCCCACGGACGGAGAAGATTTGGAAGGTCACGACACTGATTTTGGTGGGAGTTTGAGGTTGCAATCTCTGCAGGAATCGAATTGGACAGTTGGAAAGAAGATGGGGCTTCGGGTTGCTGCTGATTATTGTGTTCGAATTTTTAAAAGAGATCTCGACGTTGCTGACGATGTCGACGTGGTGGGAGCTATCCTTGGTCCAGACGCAGCTTAATCGACGACCAGACCAGCAACCACCACCATCCCACAAGCTACTGCCTTTGTATTGCCACCGCTGCCCAAACAGTACAGAGGGACAATCAATCTTTGTCAAGTCAGTTGAAGGGAGAGTTCCAATCGCCCGCACTGAGCCTGCCGCCTTTGAAGCCGAAATTCCCAGTAATATTGGTGTGCAAAAGATAGGAATGAGCGCTTCTCTTTTTAATGAAGGGGCATCTTGGGAGGAAAGTGAAGTTTGTGGGGAAAGATTGCGATAAGAATTTGGACAGGAAGGATAAAGAAGGCGTAGTACAGAAATTGAAGCTGAGGAAATGTGTGGGCCAAGCTTGGGTCTAATGAGGAACACATATGCCTTGATTGTATTGATGGCAGATCACTTTCAGCTGGCAATCGTCCGGGTTCCAAGATACTATGTGCCACAAAACCGGCAAGAGGCGGAAGATGGCAGGGCACAATTTCGGGGCTCTGTGACTTGGAGCTGGCAAACCGGGGTTGTGGATCAACTTCCTCAGCCAAGAGCAGCTGTTCGCCGGAGATTTTGACAGTAGGGTTTCTTTCTTTGACGGCGGTTGGTGGGAAAAGACGGGCAGAAGGGACAGAGAGATGACAACGTTAGGGGGATTGGGATCGGCCACTAAGGGGAATTGGGATGGGTGAGTAGTTTTTTTAATGTTTGTTTTTTAATAAATTTTTTTTATCTTAGCCTTTCTGTCAGTCTAGTCAGCTATTTTGTTTGCCACATCATCAAAAATTTAACGGTGTTAACGGTATCTAACGGAGACTGACGGCCAGTGCTAACGGTGAAACGATTCATAAGTTAATGGCGAATAAGAAAGAAAAGTGATTCGGGTAGCAAATGTGAAAAACTTGTATAATTTGATTATTTGAGTGACCAAACGTGTAATTTAGCCAATATTCTCTTGACAAGGAGAATTTTATTAACGACTTGACGCATGGACGTAGAAATTAATATCAACGAAACCTTCAATGAGCTCGTTGATACTAGCTACGACGCACAGGTTGGAGGCAAGATGGCCGATCCCGACGAGGCAAATTGCAAGAACTCCACGTCGTTCTCCAGTGCACTCATCACCGGCTCCTCCAAAGTCAACCAAACCTCCATCCCATCCTTACTCCTTCCATCCTCCATCAGAACCACCGAGTTCGAACAATACGGCACCGCATCGTCGTCATCATCGCCTCCTCCCCCGGCCCCACTAGTACTCAATCCAACCCAAACGGTCGGACCCCACCCGAAATCGGTCTTAGTCAAATCCAACCCATGCCAGCAAGAGAAGTTGTACACGTCCGTTTGCCCGTCTTCAATCTCCGCCTGCCTCTCATAGTACTCGAAAATAGCTTCGGAACCTTCCTCCCCACGCAACCTCTCCACGTAATCATAGTCCATCTCCGAAACCCCTTTCCTAACCAGCATTGCCAGCTCACCAACCCTCGCGCCTTGTTCGTTGCCACCATGATGATGATGATCATAGCTAGAGTCCGAGAACAAGACCAGGTTCCCGAACGAATGCTTCGCCAAACGCGGCCTCGTCAGCCTCCTGAGGTTCACACTCTGAGTAAAAAGAGTGGGGTTCCCAGAATTCGACGCGTGTATAATTGACTTCCACAGGAAACCCGACACCGCCTCCGCCCGGGTCGAGTACTTCTCGAGCGCTTTCTTTTTGACTCGTTCCCTCAGCTCGGCCACCGACTCGGGCCCGAACACGAACCTCCTCGTCATCACCGGCTCCCCTCCCCTCCCGAACCAGAGATCCTCGGTCAACGATGCATAATGACGTGGCATTGACTTGATGGGAGGGAAAGTCAACGGCCCTTCCTCGAAACTCGGATGCGCCACGTTCTGAACGTGGTCCGCGTTGATGGCCGCCCAACTCCGGAGGAAGGCGCTGCCGGCAACCCCGTCGTGGGTCTTGTGCGAGGAGCAGATCCCGAGGGCCAGCCCACCACACTCGAAGGCGTTGAGCTGGACCGCGACCTGTGGGCCGGAGTCGGGGGCCCGGCGGAAGGTTGGTAAGGGGAGGAAGTCGTTTAGCTTTGGCAACACGGATGCATTGGCGGAGCTAGTGAGCAAGTCGGACAAGTGGCCCTTGACGTGGGTTTCAAGGTAGGGGATCCCTTGGTCGAAGTCGTGGATGGCGTAGTTGTCCCTGACCCTGCCGGCCATTGGGTAGTAGAGGGAGAGTGCTTCGGAGAGTGACCACTTGAGGCGGTTGGAGATGTTTCTGAAGGAGGACGACTGAGCACTGTTGTTGTTTGGGTAGAAGAGTACGAGTGGAGAGTAACTCATGGGAGTTAGCTGGTCCAACAGGTTGAGCTTCAAGGGCTCGACGAGTTGAGCGGGTAGTAGTGTAGATGGCTTCACGATTTCTCTTGAGAGGATCGAGACTTCCATGTTGCTAGGCTAGGTAGGCAGGGATAAATATAATTGTGGAGGAAGCGATCGCCTACTTGTTTCTGAAGGAATATAATCTTCAGGATAACCTACGAAAAGCTAATGGGCTTGTGTGCTTTTATAAAACGAAAAGAGAGTGATGATAATAATTTGTTACGAGCTAATATTCTACTTTTTTTTTTTTGTGTGCTCGAAATAAAATATTAGTATCTAACATTTGACATGTCTGTAGCACACGTTGACCTTGGACATCAAAAGCATACTGTAGTGATGGACTGATGGCTTTCCCCTTATAATTAATTAGTTGTCTGTAATACCAAGTTGCATATATGGAAACCTTTCTTACCAACTTGCATATATGGAAACCTTTTTTTTTTTTATGGTTTGGAAACTTTTCTTTACGCATAAAGAAAATAATTAAGCAACTTGCTGGTTGGAATCTCGTCACCAACGGTTTAAATATATCGAAATTAAAACAACCTTATAATTTATCAACTTAGGATCCCATTAATTGAGTCCTTTGTATTTTCTCGTTTAAACTCATAATCTTCAATAAATTGATGTCGCCAATACCGATATAAAAAAATTAAAACAACCCCTCCAGTCAATAGCCAAATCCCCAAGCTTAATTGAAATCGGAAAAAAAAAATTGATAAAACAAATTTGGAAGGGTTGACTTGCTGGCTTGATGCTGCTTCACCAGGCGGAATATGAACTGTTCGAAGTCTCGCAAGTAGAGGGGAATTGGATCGGATTCGTGGATTGGATTGGTGGATTCATGGATTGGATCAAATGGATTGGTGGGTTGATCGATAAATCCAAATGACATCCAGAAGACGAAGCGCCTTCTTGAGTGTAACGGCCTCCTTGAGCAGAAGATGAAGGAGCGGCAAACGCCATAGGAGGCTGAACCGTCGGAACCAGAGAAGCTCCATGCCGAGACTCGCGTTCTTGCTGAACGACCTGAGCGAAGACGCGATTGATCGGCGGCAGAGGATCGAGCTGGAGGATCTGCGACCGGATCGGACCAAAAGAATCGCGAAGACCGCGAAGAAATCGAATGATCTGATCCGCCTCGACATAGCCACGAAGCCTCGTGAACGCGCCGCATCGACACCGCGGAGTGCATGTACAGCCAGGCAGAGGTCGAAGCGCAAAGAACTCGTCCCAAAGAACCTTGAATCGAGTGTAATACTCCGTCACAGTAAGATTGCCCTGCTTGAAGCCATAGATCTCTTCATGCAAATCGGAGATCCGAACCAGATTCGCTTGACCAAAGCGTTCTTGGAGATCCAGCCACACTTCCCTCGCAGAATCGAGCCAGAGGATCGACTGAGCAATCGTCGGCTCCAGAGAACAGTAAAGCCAGCCCAAAACCATCAGATTAGCCCGCTCCCAAGCCGGAAGCAACGGATCAGCATCTCCAGGACGCGGAGCATCGCCATTGACGAACGCGACCTTGTTCTTCGCGAGTAAAGCCATCCTCATCGATCGCGCCCAGGACTGGTAATTGCCACCATGGAGAAGCGTCGACACGAGCACCAGCGCTGGATTCTCGTTCTGGTTGAGGTAGTGTGGATGATTAGGATCAAGATTCGCCGGAAGAGGAAGAGGATTCGCCATCGCGGCGCAAAGAAGAGAGAAACGAAAGAAATCAAGAATGGAAAACTGAAACCCTAGTTTTGCTCTGATACCATGCCAGATTTAGTGTTTGCGGAAGTAAGAAAAATTAATATTGCATCAAAACAGTAGTTGTACATTTACACTGTCCAGCTTATATAGTACCTACCAAATTACCACCTAGTACCCTGTCCAGGCTCTGATACCATGCCAGATTTAGTGTTTGCGGAAGTAAGAAAAATTAATATTGCATCAAAACAGTAGTTGTACATTTACACTGTCCAGCTTATATAGTACCTACCAAATTACCACCTAGTACCTATACAAACTACTATTACAATATCTACCCATAAAACAACAAAATTACACCAGATTTAGTGTTTGCAGAAGTAAGAAAAATTAATATTGCATCAAAACAGTAGTTGTACATTTACACTGTCCAGCTTATATAGTACCTACCAAATTACCACCTAGTACCTATACAAACTACTATTACAATATCTACCCATAAAACAACAAAATTACACATTTGTTCTATATTCTATCACCCCCCCTCAAGCTGGAGCATGTATATCACACATGCCCAGCTTGCCTATCAATTCTACAAACCTATGTATCGGCAGTGATTTGGTAAGGACATCAGCAAGCTGGCTAGCAGTGGAAATATAGAACAACTTGATAAGATGAGCAGCAATCTTTTCCCGAATGAGATGGCAGTCAATCTCGATGTGTTTGGTGCGTTCGTGTGCCACTGGATTTTCTGCAATTCTTATAGCAGAAGTGTTATCACAATATAATGCAAAAGGATCATCAAACTTAACACAAAGATCAGTGAAAAGATAGCTTAACCATTGCAATTCACAAGATAGATCTGCCATTGCTCTATATTCTGCTTCAGCAGAAGAGCGGCTGATCGTGGTTTGTTTCTTTGAACGCCAACTGATCAAAGACTTACCCAGAAAGACACAGAAACCAGTGGTTGACCTGCGAGTGTCAGGACAACCTGCCCAATCCGAGTCCGAAAAAGCAGACAATCCAAGAGCTTAATCGGATGGGAAAAACAGACCTTTACCTGGATTACCCCTAATATATCTAACTAATCTATGTGCTGCATTCATGTGTAAATCAGTTGGATTTGCAACAAATTGAGTTAAGTGATGGACAGCATACTTGATATCTGGACGTGTAGTGCACAAATATAATAGTCTACCAATTAATCTTCTATAAGGAGAAGGATCAGAAAGTGGGTCACCAGAATTTGCAGAATAACGAACATTAGGTTCAGAGGGTGAATCTGCAACCTTTCCAGCAAGAAGTCCAACATCTGCAATAATGTCTAAAGCAAATTTTCTTTGACAAATAGTTAGTCCAGTTGAGTTCCTAGCAATTTCTAAGCCCAGGAAATATCGTAGTGGTCCTAAGTCTTTAATCTTGAAAGTATTATCAAGTTTAGACTTAATTGATTTCATTTCTAAGAGATCATCACCTGTTAATATCACATCATCAACATAAACTAATAAAGCTAAGAATTTGGAACCAGAACATTTAGTAAACAAAGTGTGATCGGATTTAGATTGAGTAAAACCATTAGTTAACAAAAACTCAGTGAGTTTGGAATTCCACTGTCGACTTGCCTGTTTTAGGCCATATAATGATTTAGTTAGACGACATACAGGCCTTTTAATATCAGAAGGGGGAATTAAGCCTTGTGGAATTTTCATGTAAACTTCTTCCAACAAATCCCCATGTAAGAAAGCATTATTAACATCTAATTGCTCAATAGCCCAGCCCTTGATAGAAGCTAAAGCTAATAAGGCACGAACAGTTGTCATTTTAGCAACAGGGGAGAAAGTTTCTAAATAATCAATACCCTTTGTTTGTGTATAACCTTTAGCTACTAATCGAGCCTTAAATCGTTCTACTGTCCCATCAGCTTTATATTTAATACGATATACCCACTTAAACCCTATGGCTTTATGAGAAGAAGGCAAAGAGGTTACCTTCCAAGTGTTAGTAGCAGCCAAGGCATCGAGTTCAGCCTGCATAGCTGCCACCCAACGCGAATCTTTGATGGCCTCTTCATAGCAAGTCGGCTCAACTTCCTTGGACACACTCATGACAAAATTCTTGTAACCTGTAGCTAATTTGTCATAAGAGAGAACATTGGACAAAGGATATGTAACAATAGAAGATGTAGCCACTGTTGAGTGACAAACAAAGTCCTTGAGCTTTGCAGGAGGCTTTGTTTGTCTATGTGGCCTGCCAGCAGGAGCTGGACCATTAATGTTGGGTATTTGTAGAGGAATAGGGACAGGATTATGAACCTGTAACATTCCAGCGGGAGGAACAGAAGTAGATACAGAAGAATTGGAGGGTTCTATTAGGAGTTCAAGATTGGGAAGATGAATTTCAGAATCTGGTAAAGAAGAATTTTTATAGGGAAAAATGTGTTCATGGAATACAACATCCCTAGATTCAATTTGTCTATGTGTGTTTAAGTCAACAAGTTTAAATCCCTTTGTGCCAAATGGATAACCAAGAAAAACACAAGGAGTAGCCCTAGGTTCAAGCTTAGGTCGATTGTGACTCAAGGTACTGGCATACGCTAGACAACCAAAAACCCTAAGGTAAGCCAGATCAGTAGGGACACCCTGTAGAAGTTCTAAAGGAGATTTGTTTTGTGTTAAAGGAGAAGGAATACGATTGATTAGGTGAGTAGCATGAAGAACAGCATGACCCCAGAATTGAATAGGGAGAGATGCTTGAAACAAAAGAGCCCTAGCAACTGTTACAATATGTTGTAACTTCCTTTCGACCCTACCATTCTGTTGAGAAGTTTGAACACAAGAGGTTTGATGTAAAATACCCTTGGAATTGTAGAAAGTGGGAATATTAAATTCCTGAGCATTATCAGTTCTGATTACCTTTACATTCACAGCAAACTGATTAGAAACATATGAGCAGAAATTAATAAGAAGTTCCCTAGCTTCAGATTTATATTTGAGAAGATAAACCCACGTTACTCTAGTATGATCATCCACAATAGCAAAGAAATAACGATGTCCATCAATAGAAGGGTCCTTGTAAGGCCCCCAAACATCACAGTGAACCAAATCAAAAGGAGCTTTGCTAATGGAATCACTAGACGCAAATGGGAGACGCTTCTGTTTAGCCAGTGGGCAAACAGAACAATGTATGTGATCATTAACAGTAATAGGAACAGAATGAGCATGCAAGCCCTTTATTCTAGGAGTAGATGCATGACCTAAACGATAATGCCATAGATCAAACATAGTATGAGATGTGTCATAAGACACAGACAGCAACCGAGGGATGGCAAGACTAGGTAGAGAGTTGCCAGGTCGAAGGTAGTAAAGGCCAGAGACCTGTTCAGCTATACCAATCGTCTGCATAGCTGACAGCTCCTGGATGAAACAAGCATGATGAAGAAATATCATGGAACAGTTATGATGTGATGTTAATTTGCTCACAGAAAGCAAATTAAACGTGAAAGATGGGATTAAAAGCACATTTGAAATGATGAGATGATCATTTAAACGCACTGTGCCAGTATGAGTGACTCTGGCTTTAGAACCATTAGGTAATGTCACAAAAGAGTTATGCACAACACTGGAAGTTTGAAGCATAGACAAAGAACAAGCCACATGGTCAGTAGCACCAGTATCTACTACCCATGTTTGTTCAAGAGACCTAGATTTGGAACTGTTTGCTACGGATAGAATCACCTTACCTGCAACCTCATCATAAGCAGAATGAGAGGCAGGCGATGTGGACTGTGTGGTAGCTGCTTCCTCATAGAGAGCCGAGGTGGAAGGATCGGAAGGCTGAGTGCTGGAGACTGCCATCAAGTTGATGGAACCAAGGTTTGTAGGCTGCTGAGGCTGAATCAGCGAGAGGAACGCCTGATATTGTGCCCGAGAGAGAGTGAAACCATCAGCTGGATCCTCAGGGACTCCATCAGTAGGATCCTCGGCACAAACAGCATTGATCGCCTTGCCACGAGCCTTGTATCCAGGCGGATACCCGTTCTTCTTGAAACACTTGTCGATGGTATGACCAGCAAGTCCACAGAAGGTGCAGATAGGCCTCTTCGATCCATCCCTCTGTCCTCGCCGTTGTTGACCAGAAGACGAAGCGCCTTCTTGAGTGTAACGGCCTCCTTGAGCAGAAGATGAAGGAGCGGCAAACGCCATAGGAGGCTGAACCGTCGGAACCAGAGAAGCTCCATGCCGAGACTCGCGTTCTTGCTGAACGACCTGAGCGAAGACGCGATTGATCGGCGGCAGAGGATCGAGCTGGAGGATCTGCGACCGGATCGGACCAAAAGAATCGCGAAGACCGCGAAGAAATCGAATGATCTGATCCGCCTCGACATAGCCACGAAGCCTCGTGAACGCGCCGCATCGACACCGCGGAGTGCATGTACAGCCAGGCAGAGGTCGAAGCGCAAAGAACTCGTCCCAAAGAACCTTGAATCGAGTGTAATACTCCGTCACAGTAAGATTGCCCTGCTTGAAGCCATAGATCTCTTCATGCAAATCGGAGATCCGAACCAGATTCGCTTGACCAAAGCGTTCTTGGAGATCCAGCCACACTTCCCTCGCAGAATCGAGCCAGAGGATCGACTGAGCAATCGTCGGCTCCAGAGAACGGTAAAGCCAGCCCAAAACCATCAGATTAGCCCGCTCCCAAGCCGGAAGCAACGGATCAGCATCTCCAGGACGCGGAGCATCGCCATTGACGAACGCGACCTTGTTCTTCGCGAGTAAAGCCATCCTCATCGATCGCGCCCAGGACTGGTAATTGCCACCATGGAGAAGCGTCGACACGAGCACCAGCGCTGGATTCTCGTTCTGGTTGAGGTAGTGTGGATGATTAGGATCAAGATTCGCCGGAAGAGGAAGAGGATTCGCCATCGCGGCGCAAAGAAGAGAGAAACGAAAGAAATCAAGAATGGAAAACTGAAACCCTAGTTTTGCTCTGATACCATGCCAGATTTAGTGTTTGCGGAAGTAAGAAAAATTAATATTGCATCAAAACAGTAGTTTTACATTTACACTGTCCAGCTTATATAGTACCTACCAAATTACCACCTAGTACCTATACAAACTACTATTACAATATCTACCCATAAAACAACAAAATTACACATTTGTTCTATGGGTAGATATTGTAATAGTAGTTTGTATAGGTACTAGGTGGTAATTTGGTAGGTACTATATAAGCTGGACAGTGTAAATGTACAACTACTGTTTTGATGCAATATTAATTTTTCTTACTTCCGCAAACACTAAATCTGGCATGGTATCAGAGCAAAACTAGGGTTTCAGTTTTCCATTCTTGATTTCTTTCGTTTCTCTCTTCTTTGCGCCGCGATGGCGAATCCTCTTCCTCTT